TCAGGCAATTCTCCTGCCTCAGCCTCCTGAGTAGCTGGGATTACAGGCACACACCACCACGCCCAGCTGAATTTTTGTATTTTTAGTAGAGACGGGGTTTCACCATGCTGACCGGGATGGTCTCGATCTCTTGACCTCGTGATCCACCCGCCTCGGCCTCCCAAAGTGCTGGGATTACAGGCGTGAGCCACCACGCCCGGCCAAATGCTTCTATGTTTTGTTTACTTCTTAACATTTGAGTTTGCCAGGACTTTTCCTTTTAATGATTATCCAATATCTAACATTTAGCACTCATTTTTTAGAATACTAAATATATTTTTAAATGTATACTATATACATTTTAAAGTTTGTCTGTTAAATATACGAATGTTTTCCCTGAGTTTTTTTTTTTTTAATTCTTCCCTTAAGTCTAAGGGATATAAGTGACTGTCTCATTTTTTCCTCTAATACTCTTATATATCCCAAATGACTTATGTCTGCTTGAAATTACTAACCAGTTCCTCTCTGTGGGTCAGGATTAAAGTAAAAATAACAGTTCCTTAAAACAAAACAAAAACTCTTATTTTCTGTATAACCCATTCCAGGAACTTGGATTGCTCTGAAAAAGTAGGTGTTTGCTTTTACCATTCAGGCTGGTAGGGCATGATTTTTACAACATTTGGGCATGAGCATTTAATCTGCCCCAGCAGCTCCAGGAAGGCCTTGGGAAATCTTAGTTTTCTCAGAACCAACTGGGCAGCAAATTGAAATTTCAACATTTCTACTTACTTAAGGCCTTCCATCTTTCCAGCTGCCACACACACACACACACACACACACACACCCTTCTGAACTCTTTTCCTCTATTTATTTAACATTACACCTTTATTGCCATAATCTCTTGCCTATATACAAAACTTTAATACTCACCTACATATAAATACACACAAACACAAATCACATCTACACTTTTTTAATTAAAAAAAAAAAGAGAGAGAGAGAAAAAAGTAAAAGACCAAGGTAGAGAGAGAAGGAAACATGAGGACAGAAGAAAAAAAAATCTGGCCTGAGTGAATAGAGCTAGCAGCCCACTACACCAGGACTTGCCCTGTGGGGGCCTACCCCTTCCTGCAAATGAGTGGAGCGGATCAGCTACCCTTTCACCCCAGCCTCTTTGTAATGGTGCTCACTTATGCAACAGCTGTTCAGGTTGAGAGGGCTCTTTCTCTGTATAGAAGCTGACCCTTCTGAAGTGTGATTTAACAACTCTGGCATTTTCACCACTCAGTCACTTAAATCAGCAGGCCACAGGTTAGAACCACACAAAACGGAAAAAGAGCAATAGGAAAATGGGCAAATGAATGTCAGATTTCCTCTATTTCCATTTTCTTTTTAGAAGACCTATTTGGAGACTGCTTCCCGTCACCACAAAATCCTGAATATTCGTCTTGAACATGAACACTCCAAGTGAAAAATTCCAGGACTGGGCCATAGCCAGAATCGCAGCTCATCTACCAGATCTCATTGTCTACGGACGTTTCTCCCCAGACCGACCCTCTATGGATTCTTTTGATGGAGTCCTGATGTTTGTTGATATTTCAGGCAAGTGCAAAAGGGATGTTTGTTTAATGTGGATGAGCAACAGGCTCCTGTGGAATTCACATGCAGAGCTCGATTGCAAAGTAGTGAGGCCATTATGGAATCCCTAGGCTGTCACAGCAGATGTGCTCCATTGAGAACACAAGAGGGAGGGAGGAGACAACTTGTGGCCTTGGCTCTCTCTCATCCTCCCTTACCCAGCACTGTCAATCATGGGCATATCTTTAAGATGCTCAAGTCCCATTCCTTGCTCCAGTATCTCTGCCCCAACTTCACTGACTCATTCTCCCCAGCCCCAAGCCTCACACACATTCCAGTGAAAATTGACCTCAGGAAATTGAAATTGATCTCCCTAGATGATGTTTACATCTTAATAATAAACTTGCCACCTCTTCACAAGTGTTTAATATATGTGTGTTTTTGTTACCATGGAAGGAAAATTCCATGCCCAGTTAAAGAAGTTGCAGTTACCACTGTACCATTAAGAATGTGGAAGCAAGAGATACCTGGAGCCTTTTCCTGACCCCTAAAATAATAAACATAGATAGAGGAAGCCGCATGTCTGACACTTGGAACAGCCACAGAGATCCTTAAGAAGAAATTCTGCCCGTTTTTAAAAGCTGAGGCCCACTGCCTTCCAGTGTAGCCCTCTTCTGGCTCTGCTTGATTCCCCCAAGCAGCCAAGGAAACCAGCTGCACATTTATTCCAGGTTTTACTGCAATGACTGAGAAGTTCAGTACAGCCATGTATATGGACCGAGGGGCTGAGCAGTTGGTGGACATCCTCAATTACCACTTAAGTGCAATCGTGGAGAGTAAGTGTTCCCATAGGTTTCTGGCTTGAGAATATTTCAATTCATTGTTTTTTTCTGTAGTTGTCAATTATAACCTGATAGAGTACAATTGCTTAGCACTGCTCCTCTTCCCCAAGAAATGTGTATGAAACTAGTCTTTTTTGAAATATGATATAGTATAACTGAGGAAATAAATATAGTCAGACTTCACTAATACAGAGTTTTTGAGGGAAGGGATGTTTTGTGTTAAAGGGCTGAATTATAGACTGCTTTTAAAATAACTGTAGTAGTAATATTTTTAGTTTTATTATATATCCAAGTATTTTTATTTATATTTTATGGTTACTATTATTATTAGTTTTTGAGACAGGGTCTCATTCTGTCGCCCAGACTGGAGTGAAGTGGCTCAATCTCGGCTCACTACAACCTCTGCCTCCCAGGCTCAAGCCATCCTTCTGCCTCAGCCTCCTCACTAGCTGGGATCATAGGCGTGCGCTACTTCCACCTGGCTAATTTTTGTATTTTTAGTAGAGATGGGGTTTCACCATGTTGGCCAGGCTGAACTCCTGACCTCAAATGATCCACCCACCTTGGCCTCCCAAAGTGGTAAACCCAGCCTTTTTTCTTTTTTCGGAGACAGAGTCTTGCTCTGTTGCCCAGGCTGGAGTGCAGTGGCACAATCTTGGCTCACTGCAACCCCTGTCTCCTGGGTTCAATGATTCTCCTGCTGAAGTTAAAATTACCTGTGCCTGCCACCATGCTCAACTAATTCATGAGGTTTTTTTTGAGACAGAGTTTTGCTCTTGTTGCCCAGGCTGGAGTGCAATGGCACGATCTCGGCTCACCACAACCTCCGCCACCCAGGTTCAAGCAATTCTCCTGCCTCAGCTCCTGAGTAGATGGGATTACAGGCATGCACCAGCATGCCCAGCTTAATTGTTGTATTTTCAGTAGAGATTGGTTGTGGGCGGGGCGGGGCGGGGCGGGGCGGGGCGGGGCGGGGCGGGGGGGGGGGGGGGTGGTGGTCTCACCATGTTGGCCAGGCTAGCCTCGAATTCCTGACCTCAAGTTATCTGCCTGCTTCGGCTTCCCAAAGTGCTGGGATTACAGGCAAGAGCCACTGTGCCTGGCCTATCCAAGTTGTTTTTTTTTTTTTTTTTTTTGGGACGGAGTTTCGCTCTTGTTACCCAGGCTGGAGTGCCATGGCGCGATCTCGGCTCACCGCAACCTCCGCCTCCTGGGTTCAGGCAATTCTCCTGCCTCAGCCTCCTGAGTAGCTGGGACTACAGGCACGCGCCACCATGCCCAGCTGATTTTTTGTATTTTTAGTAGAGATGGGGTTTCACCGTGTTGACCAGGATGGTCTCGATCTCTTGACCTCGTGATCCACCCACCTCGGCCTCCCAAAGTGCTGGGATTACACGCGTGAGCCACCGCGCCCTGCCCCAAGTATTTTTAAAAGCTAACATCTATATAACCCATAGTCATTAAGAGATTGTTGTATGAGTAGATATACGATTTATAATTAACTTCTCAATGATTTGTCTCCTAATGATGGACACTGAAGCACTCAGAGTGAACTGAAAACTTTAGTCCCTTGTCAACCTCTGCTGCCATCTTGTTTGCATTGTTAATTCAAACTATTCATGAAGAGAAGGGTTTACTCTGTTACAGTAAACTCCTGGCCTAGTGTTTCATCAGGTTCTGGTTCCTTACTAATATCTTGATGTTACCCACTAGGCAAACTTTAATGCTTCATAAAAGCAGAAACTATGGTTGATTCCTTTCTGTATCTGACTTGCCACCGTAAGTGCTTAACCAGTCCATGAGATGATGCAAAACTAAAAGAGAGAATGGCCATTTACTTCATACAGTCTAAATAAAGAAAATGCAAAGTTGGTAATAACCGGAAATGCAAGTGACTATGGTTGTGATTTCCCTGTTTCCTGACTCCTAGTTTTTGTGGAGTCCTGCCATTCATCCACCCACCCATGCTTACGCAAGCCCCAGCCTAAAACATATATTAATCAATAAATTAATTAAAAGCATTCCATCATCGTGGAAGGAGGGCAGCTGTCTTCAGGCCTCATCAGAAACCCCACTTTCCTTTCTCCTGTCTTTCCCCATCACGGAAGTAGAGTATAGACATAAACTGGTGATTCACTGAATCACTGTTCTTTTGACCTAGTTTCTATTCTAACAAAGAACGAATTTTTTTTTTTTTTTAACTAACTTTATGGAATCAGGGTTTGATTTAATTTGTTTTTCTTTTTTTTCTCAGAAGTGTTGATTTTTGGAGGAGACATCCTGAAATTTGCAGGTATGGGAGGGGAAAAAAAGGAGTGCTGAGGTGCCTCTGCTCCTGCACTGGGACAAAGGAGGCATCCCAGAGAAGGGAGTGGCCAGGGGCTAAGGAATCCTTGATGAGTAAATTTCTTTTTTTTTTTGAGATGGAGTCTCACTCTGTCACCCAGACTGGAGTGCAGTGGCAGGTCTCGGCTCACTGCAACCTCTGCCACCCAGGTTCAAGTGATTCTCCTGCCTCAGCCTCCTGAGTAGCTGGATTACAGGCACCTGCCACTGCACTTGGCTAATTTTTGTAGTTTTTAGTAGAGACAGGTTTTCACCATCTTGGCCAGGCTTGTCTTGAACTCCTGACCTTGTGATCCACCCACCTCTGCCTCCCAAAGTGCTGGAATTACAGGTTTGAGCCACCGTGCCCAGCTGATGAGTAAGTTCCTACACAAATCTCATACAAAGTAGACTGATCCTTAGGGCAGGCAGGTCAAAAGCCCCTGGTATGTGTCTCTCTCTCTCTCTCTCTCTCTCTGAAAGGCGATGCACTTCTAGCCCTGTGGAAGGTCGAGCGAAAGCAGCTGAAAAACATTATCACAGTGGTAATTAAATGTAGCCTGGAGATCCATGGATTGTTTGAGACCCAGGAGTGTCAAGAAGGCCTAGACATCCGAGTCAAGATAGGTAAGCATTTGAGAAAGAACAAATCCTATGGCAGTGGGATAGGGGTCTTGACTCCTGGGGCATCTCTCTCTTCCAAACAGTAGTAGAACATGGTGGCTTAGCCCCATCATGCCCTGAACTTTGGAATTGAGACAATCAGAATGTGAATCTTGGCTTTCTCATTTACCAGTTAAGAGTATTTGGGCTAATCATAATGTGATATTGTGCCAGAATTGCTAGGCTTTGCTTACTGGTAACAACTAAAATAAGCAGCCCAGGCTAATTCCATCCTGGCTCCTGTGACTTGTAATAAGTAACTAAGATCTGTGACTTTTATCACTACCCAGGTAATGTGTAAACAAATGCTTATCTTGACTTCTGTAAACCACTGAAGTAACAAACAGAATGACAAAAGTCCCCCGGCCTTTGGAATGTCCGGAGACCCCCACCCTCGTCTCCGCCCAGGAGGTGAATCACAGAATCCCCTGGCTCTTGGAATGTCCAAAACCTTTTCATCCCCATCCCCGCTCCTCACCCCTACTCCCAAGGTGGTTTTTCGGGTATAAAAAGTCTTGGCACCCTCCTTTCGACACCACAGGTTGGAGAGATGTGAGTCCTCTGTGGTCGCCGGCATAATAAATGACCCTGCAATCTGGCATACTTTTGTCTTGGTGCTAACTTTCTACGCTTGGTCCAGTACAACAATAATATCTACCTAATAAGCTATTACAAAAATAAATTAGTTGGTATGGTGGTTGATGCATAGTAACCACTCAACAAAATAGTCTTTATTACTGCTACTGCTGTTATTATTATTACAGCTTGCTGCTTGTCAAGGTTGTGAAGTATAAAACAAAATAGACACTAGCTTGCCATTACATAGCTTCAGCAATTACATGAGACTGGTCACCCCATACCTCGTTTAAGAATGATGTGCAAGAAAAGTTTGCAGCCTGCAACACAGCTGCAGCTTTATAAGGCTTCTTAAGATTATACATAGGCCAGATGCAGTGGCTCACGCCTGTAATCCCAGCACTTTGGGAGGCCAAGGCAAGCGGATCACCTGAGGTCAGGAGTTCAAGACCAGCCTAGCCAATATGGTAAAAGCCCCGTCTCTACTAAGAATACAAAAAAATTAGCTGAGTATGTTGGGGGCATCTGTAATCCCAGCTACTCAGGTGGCTGAGGCAAGAGACTCATTTGAACCCGGGAGGCGGAAGTTGCAGTGAGCGGAGATCACACCATTGCACTTCAGCCTGGGTGACAGGGTGAGACTCCATCTTCCAAAAAAAAAAAGATTGTACATATAATATAGTAACAATCACACATATTTCCTTATTACATTGCAGACATTACACACTATGCATGTGCAAACATTATACACACTATATCACAGTCCTGAGATACAGGCATCCTTGTATCCATTTCATAGTTGAAAAATGAGATTCTGAGAGGTGTTAAGTAATGAGTAACAGCTAGAGTTGTGGTTGGTGCTGTTGGTGTTAGCTTCTGCCTAAGTAAACTTTGCAAAACTTAGAAATCTCACATGTTATAACTGACGGGATCATCACCAGTTATACAATTAGCTGTTTCTCAGCCATCTTTAACCTATGTTCCCTTTTGATGTTGTTAAAAATTTCCCCAAAAAAGTTAAATATTTTGTTGAAAAAAAAAATCAAAGTTATTATAATACTGAATATTTTTTCTAAGTTAGCACCCAGGGAGTCTGATGTGTTATCCTTCTTGAGAATGATGGAAACCCAGCCACCTCTTGCATGCTGATTGGCTGTTAGAGAGGTGGGTCTCAGTACTTTTTTTTTTTTTTTTTTTTTTTTTTTTT